AGATATTCCTATCCTGTAGGAGGTTTTTATTTGGATATAAAATATTTGCATTCTATATAAAATAACTGAAAATGTAAGGCATAAATGTGGACAAATTGGCTGCATTTTGGGTAGAAGAGCTGGAAGTACATTGTATTTGAATAGTCCTCAGATTACATCTCAACTTTTTCATTTCATCTCCATTCTACATTTTATAGTCCCATTTTTGCTACTATTAAATACAGCTAAATCTAGATGAAAGAAGACAAAAAGACAATGTGGCTTTGTTGGAAATAAGTACTATTTGCTGATTCACTGATGTAATAAACTTTTTTAAATTACCATTTTGAATATTTCCTTTTGTGAAAATGTGGTATGCTGCTTTGAAGATGACACAAAAATAAAGAAGCTGTGCAACCACAACAGCTGAAAGGAAGAAGGGATAAAAAACAGAGATAAAAGTTGGATTGAAGACACAGCACCCCTAGGAGCACTGCCAGGGTAACTGCTTGCATGGGGTACTGGCAGGGTATTCCCATGGTGTAGCTTTAATTCATACCAGCAAAACTCTGAGCATGTTTCTGCAGAAAGGAGAGTTTAGGGGTTTTTTCCCTCAGTACAATGGCATTTGCAGTGTGGTACTGATGAGGATCACACCTTTCTCTGACTGTTGGCCAAAGTGTGTAGTGTAGATATGGCTTGAGTGCTTAGCCATGATGTAACATGCTGTAGTAGTTACTCTATAAATTAAGACCTTGTATGTCCTTAAACTGAAAGCCTTGGTGATATGTAAAAAATACTAAATGCAACAAAAAAAAATCTGAATGTGCAGCAGTACTAATTATTTGGCAACAAGAAAAAGATTCCTTGTTTCTGCAAGCTCCAGGAAGTAAAGCACAATAGCTGGAGGAATGGGTGCAGTGATCAGTTGAGTAACATTGCCATCAACTGTTTTCTGAAACCATTCCAGCTACCTTGGTCATCTTAGCAGACAATCAGGAACTGATCCACAAACACGATGACTCCAGTTCCTGAAACACTTATTCTGGTAGTAAATTGTATTCCTGAACAGCAAGCTATTGATGATGGTGTAATAGTGTAAGAAAAATAGCTGTTTTAAGGAGATTTATCCATGGGGATATTTGCTGGTTGCAATTTTTATGCCCCTCTACAGATTTTCTTCAGTGGCATAAAAAGCCCAGTGAAAATTACTCAATGAAGAACCTCTATTTAAGACTACTTATGGCACCAGTCTATATATTAAAAATCATGTTAATGATGAGAAATGTGTTTTTATAAGTGTTTGTTACAGAATATTACCTAAGAAGAAAAGGTTGTTTCAATGTCCCAGGTATTTGATCTGTATTACTCTGGCTTTTCGGTTTGCACTGCAGGCTGTTGAAATGATGCTGTTAAAGCAGATGACCTGTACTCCACACAAGACTGTTTTCTTCTGAACTGGTACTTAAAGGCTCTTACTTATTCTGCTCTTTTTGTATACTCTATAGATTATTTGGTACAAAAAAAATCGACCAACAAAACTGGAGTTACTACTGAAGATTTTATATTGTGAACATGTTTATTTCCTTGTGTTTATTTTATCACACTATAAACCTGACAAGATACTACTTTTCCTCTGAAGAAATACTAGAAAAGGATTCTAGTGTTAATATAAAATAGAAATTTATGCTAACAAACCCAAAACCTGTTGTCTGTGTATATATAATGTTTGATAATCCATATCCTTTCATTGGCTTTCCTTCCAATGTAAATTTTTCTACATCTCCTGTCAGTTCCATACACCTAAAAAAGTCCACCCACTCGTCAATAAGAGTGGTAAGAGACACGACAGATTAACTGCTGGGTGACAAAAAGGTACTTGAGGCAGTGTTCCTTCCATCTCTTAAGGCCCTAGAAGGGATGTGAGGCAAAGCATTATAACAAGAAAGCTCTGCAGCTTTGTCCAGTGCCAGGCACTCTGTCCTGTGGAACAGCCCTCTTGGTGTCCGTGGATGACTTGCACCAAAGCCTCGTGTCTGAGCCAGGCTGCAGCTGGAGGCTGACTCCAGCCTTGCAAAGGAGCACAGGGGAGAGACACGGTGCTGCAACTCTGCTCTAGTGGGGAGAGTCTTCTGAGCTCTCCTGTAAGGCACTTCTTATGTATGAGTATGCAATCTCTGCATGCTCTTTGTGCTGGTTTTGTTGCAAGAACTACACTTGCAGAGATCTGGGATTTTGGCATTGCTGTCAAATAGTCTGGAGGAGACAAGCTGGGAACTGAAACTTGAATAACCTTAAACCTACAAGACCTCTTTACAGCAGAAACAATTGCACCTTTTGCTGTGTGAAAGTATAAAATCAGGCATATAAAAAATATCTTAAGTAATGAGGTAGAACATCTTGAAATGATTTTCCTTATTAGCATTTAAATAAACGACACAATTTTTTAAAGTAAAATACACACTTTCATGATCCAAAAAGTTAAATTGATAGCTACAGCAGGAGAGTGTACAGCAATAACACCAATAAAAGTAACAAACCTGATTTCCTTGTAGGAGTAACTGTAAATTTATGACATTGCTAAATTAAAAGTGCTCTCTTTTATATTCATTGCATGCTGTATTAAGCTGAAACATTTCTTATTCACAGATTAACTTATTTTTTCCAAGACAGCTCTATTAGCTATGCCAAGTACCTTTCAAGAGAAAATGATTAGACTAAGTCAGTTAAACCACATCTGGTAAAATTTAGTCATGTCAGACCAAAACTTTTTCAGAAAAATATACTTGGATGAGACTGATATGTGAAAAATTCGAATTTGAGTCACTAATAATAGTCCCTGCAGTTTTATCCTATTAATGCTATACTGACCCAGTAAAGTCAATCTTCAAACATGCTGTTCAATCATATCTTACAGGACTAGCCTGGCTCATTTTCAGAGAGATGTTTCAGTCATCTGACTTTTTCTATTTTGTTTTAACATGCCACATTAATATGTCAATGTTTTATTAAAATACAGCTGCCCTAAAATGTGCAAAGATAGAAGCAAGGCTAATAGACAGAATATACAGTACCACAGCTAGTATCACATGCAGAAATTCCAGCAGTACTGAAAAGGTTTTAATGAGTCTGCCTTTCTTGGCTACCCTGTGTGTTCCTCACCTTCAGTAATTTCTCTAATCAGTACTTCATACAACATGGCAACAAAAGGACAGCTTTTCTTTTTCTCAGCCAGCTTCTTTTTTGTTTTGATTTGGTTTTGGTTTTGTTCAAATAACACAATAGGAAAGGAAAACTTACATTTTCCAGGATTTTTTTTCACTCCTTAAAATCAGTGTATGTCTGTGTGGTTCTTTCCTGTCTGGATAAGTCTTGATGCCATCAACTATTCTACTATTGCTCCAAGAACACTAATAGCAGAAATAAAATATAAACCACTACATAAAGCAGCTTGCCAAGAAACAAATTTCTCTTTGCACTGGCCACACTGATGGAGCAACAAATTTTGTTGTAAGACATCTGATGAGAAGGAATAAAAACATACATAGAAAAGCAAAGAGCAGGAAAAAAATCTAGACAAGAGTGAATGACTAAGACTCCTAATTTCATACATATTTAAGCCCTGGTTATGCATAGCTGTGTTATCCAGAGAGCAGCTTACCTGTGTGACGAAGGCAGACAACCCAAAGCTGCCAGGGCACACACAGCACTGTGAGAATGAGACCAAATTAATTCCAGGCTAAATTTTATCTCAGAACAATGTACTGATCCATGGAAATCAATGGAATAAGCATTCTGCAATTGAGCTATTTCCATATAGTCAGTCAATGCATTTCTAAACTGAACAGGAGATGCAGCAGTCCTGCCTTTATTTGTCACACAGGAGAAGGAAGGGTGATACTCAGTGGTTGCTGCTATGATAGTGACCTGGAGACAGCCATGTTCAAGACAGAGTGTATGAGGAAAATGAGCAGCAGAATACAGTCCCTGGACTCCATGACACTGATTTATTCAGAGAACTAGTGGGCAGGATCCCATGGGAGGCAGCTCTGAAGGGCAAAGGAGCTCAGGAAATCTGGCAGCAGGTCTTTAAGGACAACCTCCTCCAATCATACAAACAGTTCCTCCTGAACACTCAGTAAAACGAGTAGATCTATCAGGAGACTGGCCTGGCTAAACAGGGAACTTATGACAGCACTCCAGTGCAAAAGGGCAGAATTACAGGAAGTAAAATCAGGGATAGTCTTCAAAGGAGGAATCTGAAGAACATGCTCCATTCTTCCTAAACATGATGGTGTGCTGGGGGGACAACTAGATTGGTAACCACTGTTCAGATAACAGGACTTGGAGGGCAGAGATAATGCCTTGTACTCCACCTGAAGGCCAGTAACAAATGGAGTACTGCTGGGATTTATCCTGGGCTATGTTCTATTTAGTATCTCTAACAGTGACCTGAAGTATGGTCATATCAAGTTGACAGGGGACATCAAACTCGGGACCAATCATTACCCTACCGAACAGAGAGATCTAGATAGGCTGCAAAGACTCGGCAACACAAACCCGTCAATACTCAAAAAGACAAGTGTAAACCTGCATCTGGGAAGGATGAGCCTTGCGGCAACACAGGTTGGGAAATGACTGGCTGGGGAACAGCTCTGCTGGAAAGCGCCAGGAGCACAGCACGCTAAACACGAGCCACCCCTGGAAGCAAAGGGGGCCAGCAGCATCCGGGCTGGACTAGGAGAGCACCATCAGCAAAACAAGGCGAGTCCGACTAAACGTTTTTCACCGTGAGGACACGGCGGCTACAACTCTGAGCAATCCGGCTTGACCTCCGGCTGGCCGCGGCGCCGAAGCGAGACGGAGCGACGGCCTCCGGCACTCTGCTCCAAGGCCGGCTAGCCGGTGACCCTGCCGGGGAAAGCTGCCGGCCAGCTCAGGGTAGGCCCTCCGGTCCCGGTTCACAACTGCAGAGGTGCGCAGGAGCGGAAAGCACGGACCCGCGCACCCCGCCCCGGAAGGGCCCCGCCGGCAGCGGAAAGCGGCGCGCACGCAGCGCGGAGGCCGCACGTGGCAGCGGCGGAGTCGCGGCGCTCCGTGTCAGCGGCAGCGCCATGGCGAGCTGGAGGGACCCCTTGGACCGCGGGCAGGTATTCGGGACCGGCGCGGCCCGGGGCTGCGGGAGCCGGGCAGGCGGGAGCGCGGCCGGGGGACCGCGGACAGGTATTCGGGACCGGCGCGGCCCGGGGCTGCGGGAGCCGGGCAGGCGGGAGCGCGGCCGGGCCGGGCTTGACCTGCGGCTGCCGCCGCTGTGGTGCCGTTGCAGGTGAAGAAGGCGGTGGAGGCTCTCTTGGCTTTCTCCAGAAAAAAGGCAAAGAGAGACGCGCTGCTCCTCAACGAGAGCGAGAGCGTCCATCTCCTGTTGACGGTGTGGAAGGTCCCGCAGCTGGAAAAGGTCATCAGAATGTAAGACATTGATATCCGGCCGCGTGGTTACAGGGGTTGCTCGTGTCCTTTGGCTTGGAAAAGAACACTGTGCAGATTCTGAGCTTAAGGGGTTTGACTGCCGCGGCCTTGGCCTGGGGGCTCCTGTGCCGTGACTGGAAACTGCCGGGTCAGAAGCTGCTTTACCCCTACCTTTGGTATAACTGGAAGCTGGGCTGGGCCAGCTTTTTGCACGCAGGATACTGTTTCTGTTGGTTGCCAGTTACAGGGTATGTGTCTTTCAGTCCTTAAGCTTTAGAGACTGTCTAGATATTATCTATTTCTATATTTAGAAAATATCTAGAATCACCTTCTTTGTCTTGACCCACCAGCACCAAATCATTAGTAATACTAGTTTCTTTTGATAACCAAACTTGAATGTGAATTAGAAGTCTTTTTTTAGACTGTAGCTGCACTACATTGGGAAAGTTTACATCCGTTTATCAGGGCCACGGTGTTATAACGTTTTTTCTAATGACTGGATGCAGCCACGGCATGAAGGGAGGAGCATGGAGGGTCTTCCTCCTAGGATCCGTGTGGTGAAGGCTGCTGGAAGGATAGAGGATTATTCCACTTTGTATCTGCCTGGAGCCATGGCGTTCCGTGGTTTCACTTTGAGAGTTCTGTATGCTTATCAACTGCAGGTTCCACTGAGAATATTTAGTAGTTAACAAAGTGTAAATACAGGCAGGTTGTTAAAGGGTACTGATCTCCAGTGTTGTCTGAGTTCTGGGGAAAACTTCTTTTTATGCATCTCATATTCTCATTGTAGACCACTGCCCCATGGCATTCGACCAGAAACAGCTGATGTTTGTCTTTTCACAAAGGATGAACCAAATTTATCAGCAGAACAGACTGAAAATCTGTACAAGAAACTTTTACTCCGGAATGGGATCAGAAGTATTAGCCGGGTAAGGGAGGTCCTTGATGGTATAATACAGTACTGTCATTTCTTTCCTTTTATACCACCAAAAAGAATACAAGTAGTTGTTCTTTTCTGCTGTTTAATATTCTAATTCTCATTCATATACTCTAGTAAGATTTTTCTGACTACTCAAACTGTGGTGTTTCTAAAATGCAGAGTTTACTGGGAATAATTTCTTTAGTTTGAAACAGGATTTTTAGTAATCAGGTACAATTTCTAGATAAATGTTCAATATTTAGTTTGAGTAATACCTGGGAAAACTCACAACGTTTGATTGTTTATTAAACTATGTAACATGTTATATTTAACCTTGATTTGGATGTTATTCCTGTACCCAAGTTCTGGTTTGTGATGTGCAGTTACTATGCAAGAGATCCATGTTTTTTGATTCTTTAAAACAGGAAATGGATACTTTTTGATTGTCTTTAACGTTCTAAAAGAATGCACTGTGATGGACTATCAGTTATGCAGCTTTAATCTTTGCAGCTCTGAGAAGCATTTCAGTTGCATTTTCAGCAGCAGGGACTAAACTGGTGCTTGTGTTGCAGATCATCTCCTACAAAACCCTCAAGAAGGAGTATAAAATGTTTGAAGCAAAGCGGCGCCTCCTGAACAGTTTTGATCTCTTTCTCTCTGATGAGCGAATTAGAAGGCTTTTGCCCTCACATCTAGGAAAACACTTCTATGAAAAGAAAAAGTAGGTCTTTAAACTTTGGAAATCCATTATTGCATTATATTTTTTAAGATCAGATCCTTCTTAGTAATGGAGGAATTGGTTTTCTTTTGGGCTTTCTGATTATTTCCTTTTTTTTACCCCTCTCCCTTTCTGTTTCAGGGCACCTTTATCTGTAAACCTGAAAGCCAAAGATCTTGCCAAGGAACTACAAAAACATATCCAAGGGACCACACTCCCAATTAACAACAAAGGGTGCTGTTAGTAAGTACAAATATATTAATATATCACTTGTAGGATGGTTCTATCTTAACTGTAGGAATTTTAAGTGAGTTATTTTTATTCCTTTAGTATTGAAAAAAAGATGTTAAGGGTCACCATTGCAAATGGGGGTCGTTTTGAACCTTTACCTGTATAGTTAAATTAGTAATTCTACTTAAGTTTTACTGTGAAGTTGAAGGGTTTTGTTTCTTTTTCCTTTTACCTAAGGAATTTCTAGGTACTTGTCACTGTCAAAGCACATGTACAATCTTAGTTTTAATCTAATATAATAATATTTTTCTATTTCCAAAATCTTCTATTCTAATAAGATTTTTCATGTATTGTGTATCTGAAAGGATCTGAATTGGCAGTAATGCTTTGTAATGTAAGGCAGAAGTTGCATACCCAAATGGGGAAAGATGAATACAGGTGAATCCCTTCTAACTGCTATCACAAAAGATTTCTGCAATAGCCATCCCTCCTTTATGATAATTGCAGATAAGTGGGCTTTTTGCATTTCTGGGTATGCCTAAACTAAAGGAGTGACTTGAAATAAGTTTATTTGCCCATATATAATTATTATTTGTTTCTTCTCCCAGTGCAATGCGCATAGGTCACACTGGGATGAAAGTGGATGAGATACTTGAGAATATCATTGCAGCAGCAAAAGTGATTGGTGCCAAGTTACCAAAGGTACTGCTGACTGACTGTGTTACAGACAAACAGATTCCTATTTTAGCCTTCTTTTTACATAATATACTGGTTTTGTTTTTGCAGAAATGGAAAAATGTAAAACTCCTTCACCTCAAAACAGTTAAATCGGTTGCACTCCCAATATTCACTGCAGATATCTCCAACCTGGATGAGCTTGACAAACAGCCATCTCTCAAGAAAAGTAAAGTAAAGGTAACCAAAATTTCTTCAAACTTGCATAAATTAAATCTAAATTAAATTAAATAAATTTAGTTCTAGTTCTTTGGTTTCCTTCTATGCATTGTTATTTTAGGTTTCAATGCATTAACAAGTGATCCCAGGCTTTTATGGCTAAAACTGCCTCAGTGCTTCAAATACTCAGTTATAATAATGAAACTGTAGCAACTCCCTTACAGATTTTAAAGCAAACTGGAAATAAATAAAGTATTTCTAGACCTAAACTCAAGGCACCTCAGATTCATTTTTAGAGCTTTGCTTCTCTTGTTTATCCATATTTGCCTTCTGAAAATTCACTCATTAACATATGTGTGGATTCTGATTATGCATGTTTTTTGTTGGTCAATCAGTGGCATCTGAATAATTCTCAATCTCATATATTTGTGTATATAAGGGGACCTCATACTTGTTACAAAATATTTGGCTATTCCTTTGTACTGAGTTCTGTTTATATTCATTTGTCTGAAATTAAATTGGGACTGTGAATATTCAGCTTAGAGACTGTAAGGTTGACATTCCTGTGGTTGTAAGCTATTTATAATAAATTTCTGCATATCATGCATTTTTTCATATTTTACATATGGCTGATTAGTCCAGGTCTATTGAATAAAAGTCTTTAATGTTGCTACACCATCTAATTTTTAAGCACATTAAAACAGTTGTTTTACATTTAGAAATGGCATGGGGATTTGTCTGAGATGTACTTCTGATTAATTCTAGAAGGCAAAACCCAAGAAAACGAAGAGGACAGCTAAGAAACTGAAGCCAAGTCAGGTCACTGTGACAACAGAAAGTAAAGCTGCTGCTGGTACCCAGGAGCCTGTGAGAACAGAAAAGATAGAAATAGTCCAAGAACCAGGTGATTGTGATGATGAAGAAATTCCACAACTGGTGCCTATACAAACAACAAGCTCAGCTGACCTGAAGGTAATTGTTGAATAATACTAAGAAACTTGCATCTCAGTTAAAACTACAGATTTTGAACTTCATTGCTCCTTGGGGAACAGTATGTGTTGCCACACTTCAAGACTAGGGTGCAGTTCAGTTGAAAGTATTTGTCATTTGTCATGGTTTTCACTGATCCTTCTTCCTTAAAAACAGGAAATGTGTTTCTTGGTGGAATGGTAATTTTTTTGTTTGTGTTAAATACAGAAAATGGGACCAAGTTCAGAAAAAGGTGACAATTTGGGCAAGAAAACCAAAACGCTTCTTGGTAAGAGAAAGAAAACATCTCTAGTGGTGGATACTCCAAAATCAAAACCTGAGGTTACAGAAGAGTGCGCAAACTTGCAGTCGTCATCAAAAGAGAAAAAAGCCAAGCAGGTCAGTAAACCAAAGGAAGCAATAAAAGAAAAAGACACGAAAAATGCTCCAAAAAAACCTGAAGCAAAGTCTTTTGCAACACCCAAAGCTGGCAAGTCACTACAGTCAGCCAGGAAGTCTTCAAAAGCACAGAAGCAGGCACCCAAAAAGGTGCGCGTGCCGCAGTCAGCATGAACTGTTGTAACATATTTTGTATCAACATTTTCAGTAGACAAATTTATTGATGAAGTAAAACACCTTCTTAGGAAATCTAATCCCAAGAGCTTTTTTTCAGCAAGATCTGTAATGATTCGTTGGTTTCCTTCTAATTTACAAGCTGGTATAAATAAACTCACTGTCTTAATGGTCCCATCACCCTTTATCTTTTGCTGGCCCAAACCAAAAACACTCAAATTTTTCAAGTGTCAGAGGGAAGAGAGGGGTTTATCCCGGGGGGGAAAAAGGCTGAGAAATATTTTAATAAATGCTGTCTTTCTGAAGCAAGAAGCAAGCGTGCCAAAAGCAGCAATCTGCATGTGCTTTTAAAGGTGAAAAAACTGCTACAGTTCTTTAAAAATTTTTTCAGTATAATAAAGACAGGTTAACAGTGATTGGTGTTACTGCAGGTATGTAGCTTAGCAGCCTGATACTGAGCCCCACTTTGTAATTTTTAGCTGTTTTTACCTAGGGTATTTGTAAGTTAAAAAGGCACAGACAATTTTGCTTTAACCATATATATATTTTACAACATCAAGAAAAATCTTACCTTCAGTTTTGGGCTGTATTTCTGCTACTGGAACAGTTGAGATTCCTCCATGATGGTCACAAAACTGTTGTTCTGTTCATCTGAAGAAAGCCAAAGGCTGTGTGAATTCCACTTGTGCCAGCTAAGTGAACTTGTCCTGATAAGGCATGAAAAATACATACTTCAGGACTGAAAGGTGGTATATTTGAAATTTTGCACAACTGCCCAGTTATTCTCTGTATAATAACTTGTCTGTCCTTTGCAGAGTGAGAATGTGAGGCAGATTTGTGTAGTGGTAAAAACTCCAAATAGGAAAAAGTTGGTAAGAGACAAGATTAATCATCAGGAAGTAACCAGCCTACTTTGTCATTTAAAAAACCCTACCAAATCTCCTTTTTATTGTCATATCAACATATTGGCTACCTAGAAAGAAAGTGTGTGCTAAATGAGAATATGAAAATATTCTCCTTGATCTGTGGTGTCAATTTTTTTTTGACCCTTTTGCAACACTGACTTTTTGTAACTTTTCAACTGTTTTGTGAACCAGAAGGTATGATAGTAATCCCAGTAAACCAATAGCACTCACTGTCACTGGAAGAGTATCAGCAGTATCATTTAATGCACACTATTTCCACTCAAATGTGGAAGGTACCTATTAGGCCTGGTCATAGCTCCTGTTGGCTTGATATTTCTAGTTACTGGAACAGTGGCTTATCCATCATTGAATAAGGTGTTAGATGTAAGGCCCTTGTGAGAGCAGGCACAGGAGATCCTACATCTAAATACAGTTCTTGTGCTTGAGGATTTGGGAGTGTAAAAAGAGATGTATCAGGTCGTTGACACAAGGGTGAAGTGAAGTATGTCTTGCCTTTCACATAACTGTTTTGCTTACTGAATTTTACATCCTGCATTGACATCTTGTTTCCTGTTTGTCAGCCTGAACTGCTCTTTTTAATCCTCCTCAAGCACAGTTAAAGGAGTCTATGTGCCTTTGCAGATGCGCACTGTAACTGTCTTGCAAATCTCTGCTGTCTGCCACCAGCTTGCCTCCCCTTGCAAGCGCGGAGATCAAAGAAGCCGATGTTCATCTGCGGACCACTTTTTTGAAGTGCCTCCCTTCTAGGGGGCCTGAGGTGGCGCTGCCTCAGCTGGAGCGGCTGAGCGGGCCCAGCCGTGTGCGGCTCACCTGGGGACGGTAGCGAGCAGTACTCGCAGAGAGCCTCAGCTCCTAAATGCCATCGGTCGCTACGGATCAGCCTTCGAGCCCCGCGCGGCGGCTGGGGCTCGGCGGGGCCGGTGCGGGCGGCTGTGCCCGCCTTCATGCGCGCAGCTGCGGGGGCAGAGGCGCGGCCCGGCCGTGCCCTCAGGTGTGCGGGGGGCGCGGCCTGGCCGTGCCTCAGCGCGGGGGCGTGGCCTGCACCTGCCCGGGTGGGAGGGCGCGGCCCGGCCCTGCCCTCAGGTGGGCGCCGCCCTCGCCTCCCCTCAGGTGCGCGGCCCGAGGCGGCGGTGGCGCCGCTCCCGATGGCGGCCCCGGGCGGGCTGGGCCGCTGCGTGGCCGCCTTCTGGCTGGCGCTGGCCTTCGACGCGGTGGGGCTGGCCGTGCTGCTGGCCGGCGTGTTCGCCGACGTGTTCTTCTCCGACCTGCTCATCTACGCGGGCGGCATCGGCATCTTCCTCAGCCTGGTCTGGTGGGTGTTCTGGTACGCGGGCAACCTGGAGGTGCCGCCCGAGGAGCTGCGGGACGACGTGGGGCTGCCGGCGCCCAAGGGCCGCGGGGACACGCTGCTGCGGCGGCTGGTGAACGGCCTCAGCCTCCGCCTCACCTCCGCGCTCGCCCCCACCCGCCCCGCCGACCTGGAGCTGCAGCGCGCCGGGGGCTCCCGCGGCCGCCACGCCGACCCCGGCAGGTGAGAGCCGGGACAGTGAAGGGAGTCGGGCAGCGAGCTTTGGCCAGAGCCTGGGAGAGCTCCCCTGCCCGAGATTCGGTTTAACACCTGCTATGGTAAAGCGCCTGCTCGCAGCCGATGCTCCTTAAAATAAAAGTAGTGGGGAATCTCTTTCAGCTCAGATGGTAAAAAATCAGGTGGGAAAGATTGCACAAATGGGATTAGGCAGGGAAGACACTTCCTGCAGCCGTCTGAGAGCGGAGCAGGCGAGCAGGAGTGCAGCCCGGGGAGTGCGGTGGAGCTGGCGTGCGGAGCTGCTGCCAGAGAGCGGCACGGGAGCCGTGGCGCCCTGAGCCAAATCCTGCCAGAAATGGCCACTGACCACGAGCTCTCGGGAGGGGAAGCCCCCTCGTTAGCACCATGAGGTGTTGCTTTATTGGACAACAAGAAAGGTGAAATGCTGACTTGGATTTAACCTGGGGGCAGAGCTGTAGGTAAGAGGTTGAAACTCATAAATGCAATCATTAGTTAAACTGTCTTGAACCTCAGTCATCTAGAAAAGATGTGATAATTCCTGATGTGTAAGGAAGTGTCTAGGTCCTATTTCAAAGCATGGTTGAAGAACGTGAAGCTTTTCAATATATCCTAGTATGTTCATTTATATGGCATGTTCATTTAGGAAGAAAAGCATGCTTAATGCCTTGAAAATGTGTGGGGGGAAAAAACTCAAGCCTTCACTTCACTGTATAAAATCCTCTATTGAAGGAACTGTAAGCACAGTTTTGTACTATTTGAACTGTTCAAGGATTTGAAACATCTTGCTGTTCTGATTCACTATGTACAAGATCAGCTTTTGCTGCTTCTCCTTGAAACTAAGTCCTGAAGACACTGTTGATTTACAGAAAAGTTCATGTGAAAATTGTCTTCTTTCATGAAAGTTATGAAATTTTTCTTGAGAGAAAGTTTTAACAGTAGGGAGATTGAGTATAGATAATTATTCCTTAATAGAAAACTTGTAGGAGGGAGGAAAGAACAGCAGCAACACAACTTTCAAAGATTGTTACTGCTCTTTAGTTTATTATTAACTACACCTGCAATTAGAAAACAGGCTGTTGAAAATGAGCCATCCTGTTTTCAGCCATTCTTTTTTTCTGAATTGGGTCTAAAATTGGCAGGTCCATATTTGCAGGGGAAGATTTATAAATGACTATGCAGAACCATTCCATCTAAAGATCATGGCAATTGCAGGTACTGAGCTCAGCAGATCATCTCCTGTCTCTGTAGGTGCAATGTGTGTACATGGATATGTGTTCTGTTTTAATGAACTCCTAGTAGTGAAAGTTATCCACTATTTTGAAATATTTCAAGTCTTACTCCTGACTGCAATTAGATTTATTTGTCCTATAGGGATAAATAAATAAATATATAGTGATTTAATACAAGATATCCCAGCAGCTTCTGTTGCTACAGTAAACAAACTTCAGTAATGGTAATTCAGAAGGAACCAAAACAGGGGGTGTACAGCAGTTATGTTACATATTGGAACATAAACTTTTTTATTTGCTTGCAAGGTGAAACAAAGGATAACAAATTGTTTCACTTTGAAAGATATTTTAGAGTTCCCTTTTGAAGTGAGTTAATCTAAAGTATCTTAGTACTTCTCGTAAACAACAGTCTGAATCAGATCATTCCTTGCTGATAGACCAAATCCTTTCCCCATCAGGAGATATTTGTGAACTTAAACAAACGGGTTAAACATGTTTGGGCAGATACTGTCTGGATGAGGAGGAAAAAAAAACCACCACCCCACATACACAGACACATTAAGAAACAAAAAAAAACAAAAACCCAAAAAATCCCAAAAAAAACCCAAAGAAACAAAACCAAAACAACAACAACAACAAAAAACAAACCACCAAAAAAATCCACTTCACATATTCTCCCTTTACTGGCCATTTGGAAACCTTCTTGAGCATTAACATTTTGAAGTCATGGAAGGACCACTGCATGTTGTTCTGACTTTCTGTCTTAGAAATCATATAGTAAAGAAAGGTGAGAATTCCCATGATATGGAAGGCTTCTATTAAAGGAATAAGTAGATTAGGATCCTCGAGCCTGAAAAGGCTATAAAGTGTATGCAGAATATGAAGTGCTCCAGAAGTCTGTGCAGGCACTGTGGGGAAGGTGTGAAGTGCTTGCCTCCCAAGGCAAAGCAGGAACAAACTGACACGTGCCATGTAACTGAAGTGTGGGACTGCTTGACATGGGACAGTGGGACAGATAAAAATTTACTGATTGAAAAATCCAAAGGACAAAGTAGAAGATAATATGATAATATAATGTGTTTGGCTTAGGATAGACCTGGGCAGTCAGTGGCAGCTTGCATCCTGAGGAGATATTACTTGTGTGCCATATTCTTGTGCTTTCATTGAGGCATCACTCTTGGCCACTATTGGAGATAGGCTGGTGACTTGATGGATCTTTTATTTGGGTCCCAACTGGCTGTTAAATATGAGGAAAAGATCTTTTATTTGGGTCCCAATTGGCATTTAAATATGAGGAAAAGTACTTTTAAGATTAAGTAACAGTTTAGAGTTACATGGCCATTTGTTCTAAGCCTCTTTTGGAGTAACCTTTTCTTCATGTGTTATCTTCAGGATCTGTTGAAGACACGACTATTGACATTACTGCCCCAGAAAGAGGGGGAAATGCTGCAAATTATGGAAAGAGATGCCCTACTCAAAACAGTAGGATCCTCTCGTTGTGGAATAACTTCTGCAAGCATTGTGGACTCTCCATAAAATGGACACATGGAGCCATATCTCTGCCAAAAGCACCTATTTCAGTGTTGGACTGGATATATTTGAAATGGTGAAAAAAGATCCCACAAAATCTTTTTGAGAAGTGAGAGCTAAAAGAGAATTGAACCTGATTCACTGAGATATCAGTGCAGCTTGTCATGTAGATGGTTTTATTGTTTTGTTTTACTTATCATTATTTTTAATAACCTGAAAGGTTTGGATAAAAAGCTCTTGCACAATGAAAGCTCTTGCACTCTTTTTTACCAAGGTGTAGAAGTTAAACTTACTGTGAATTTTTATAATGCACGTGCAATACTTTTGTTTGTAAGGGTGCTTTTAAAATGTCTATATTAAACTGTAGACAGAAAGCTGCAAATGTAGTAGAAGTTGTTTATAGTGTAAATACACAATTTACAGTGTCTCTTGTAAAAAGTTCATTTATTCTGAAATAACCTGGAATCTGAGATTTTATAAGTAGACAAATAACACCAGTGATGTTGGCATACAAGTACATTCTTTGTAGTTACAAATGATGTAATATGATGACTCTTGCAAGAGGCATTTTTAGTCCAGTGATGTTAGAAATTATTTTCCTAATGCTGAAGCATTTGAGAGAGGGAACATGACCAAAAGAAACCCTGTTGATTAACAAGGCATTATAAAACATTAACAAACAGTAGCTGGAAAAATATTTATTTTAATGCTAGTGATACCTAAAATTGTGCTAATGATAGAATTGTGTGGAGAATTTCCTCAGGAGTTCTTCTGGTTTTGAACTAACACTAAGAGTTTGGTGCCACCATCAGCAAATACTGGTAGGTCTTAAAATTTCAGTGCACAATTGTTCTATGCCACACCTCATTGAATACTAGATGTGGAATTAAGGAAAATATTTACTAAGAACACTGTGGCTGTACTTCCTTATGAACTCTTCAAGTGTCTTTCAGTGTTTTCTTGTAAAATTACTGGAGTAACTCCTTTTCTTTGCATATTCACATTTTTAAATGTTTTCCAAATGCTCTATCTTTTAACAAATTCACAAGCACACTACACTTGAAGGTCTGCAATGTGATTTCTCCTTTACTAAGGAGGTGTATGCAACTTGTTTCCTTCTTTTAATGGAACTGCAATGTGACACCACTGCAGTGTCACAATGGCCTGATTAAAAAAACCAAACAAACCAAACAAGCTCCTCCCTTAAAACCTGTAGATCAGTTTTCATTTGCAAGAATTTTTAAAAATTTCCTTTTTCTGAACAGAAAGAGATGCTTTTTCTGATTCCCCATAGTTTCACTTATCATGTGAATTGTGAGATATGGTGTTTAGTAAGTAGAATGATTACTAACAGCTATAAATTATTCCAAAACTCATACATGTAGTTTACATACTTATTCTGTGAAAACCAAAATTTTCTATTCAAGTGTTGCAATAATAATTACTGGAGTGAATTGAGCAGGCCTTTGCATTCCTTGTATATTACAATAATTAATCCTCAATCCAATATCAGTACTTAATGATTGTTGTATGAGATGGTAGCTAGAGTGCAACTTCACTCAAAAGTTATGTGGAATTCCATCTAGTTTACTAGTATGAATAGGATATGTTTTTAAAATGAGCTATAGGAGCTGATCCATCAGTTAAGGAGGATGTTAAGCACAGAAAAGCACTAAAGCACTAGAAGGTTACTGAGATGGTGATTCCAAACAATGAGACAGACAGTAGTTGCAGTGTAGCAATGATACCTGTTGTAAGTATTGTAACTATTCTCTTTTGGAAAATTCATCCAGTTACTGTTTCATGCAACCAGGAAGGCTAATACTAAACAGAAACTGGGAATCATCTGCAGTTACACATTAACAAATATTTAACACTATTTTAGTTTCATGATATCCTTATCAGCTCTGCTCAATGCAGCACAAAGTCCATTCAAAGAACTTTTACATTGTTAAATGGAAGGAAGCTCTTGGACATGTTTAGAACTGCTTGCTGTTATTGAACAGAGTTGTACAGCCAAAAGAATTCCTCTAGCCATTGAGGAAAGGGCCATGCTGTTTAAAATCTTAGCCAAAATCACAAAGAACCAAACTAGTTCCAAAGTGTGGCTACAGGAGCCTTTTCCATCTAGTTAAGTCTTAAACCTAGCTCAAAATGCCATCCTACATTCCACTGAAGGAAAACCACCAACCCCTATATAGATGGATTAAATTGTTAGACCTAAAACGTGGACTGCATCCACATTTTCATGTGGTATGTAGTGTCTACTTAAATGGGAACATCTTCATTGGGGAAAGATTATTAAATTATTAGTATTAAATTATTAGCAATGCCCACAAAAATCTGTTTGATGTGACTTGTGAGAGTTGCTGGGAGCGACATAATTATTGCAGCAGGAGTTTGTGTAGAAAAGAAGCAAAAGTGTATGGCAAGGTGAGAGGGCTAAGGTCAAATCCTGGCACGTGTTGCTGTAGCTAGGTTGTGTGAGTGGGTGAAGTAAATTTAACGTATTCAGCCAAAACGTTGAGCAGATTGGATTTTACTGAAGAACGACATGGGAAATGCAAGTCTCTGTTCATACTTACCCGGGTTACTCTAGCAGTAGAATTCGTGTGTGTATACAATGTTTTGGGAGAAAAACCAGTTACTAGCTCGAGACAGAAAAGTCTGTAACACATTTTGTTTAATGACTGGTGCTTTAATATAGACCCAGCCTACACCGGGAGGATGAAGACATCCAGAAATCTCACTTGAAGTTCTGTGCCTCTGTTCTAGCAGATCCATTATTACTTCCCAAGGTCAAACTCCACTTTGTTTAGAGCAGATTCTTGGCGCTCTTTAATCTCAATTAAGTTGTTCGGACCATTTAGTTTATCCCTTCGGATTGCAGTTTTTAGTTGATAACCCAGGCTGGTCACCTTGGTGTCACCTGTGCTGTGAGGGGCTGCCCGCGGCTCCCACCGCTCACGGCGAGCTGCCCAAGGGGTCAGGGAGCGCTCCTTGTGAACCATCCCGGGACGGGATCGCTCCACCATGGCCCTGGGGATAAATCTGGATTTCTGCTCACGCATCCCGGAACGCTGGGAGCGCTACCGGGACTCAGTGTTAAGACTAGAACAGTGACGAGAGTAGATCTTCCCGCTCCTCTTGCCCGGCTTCATCCCCGCGTAGGGGCGAGAAACGCCCTCTCCGTGCCCCCGCCCGGCTGCCTCGGTCCGCCCGCACCACGGCGGGCGGGGCAGCGCCGCGGCTGCTCCTTCCCGGCTCTCCCTGTCCGCTCAGTGGAGCCGCCCGGCGGTGCCGCTCCGTCCCAGATCGCTGGAGCCGCTCCGAGCCCGCGCAGTGGAGCCGCCCGGCGGTGCCGCTCCGTCCCAGATCGCTGGAGGCGAGGCGCCGCTGGCCCCGGTAGCGGGCGCGGCCGCCACCGCAAGGCAAGGGTGGGCAGCGGGGGGGACCCTCGGGAGGGGAGCAGCGGCTCCTGCGGCTCTCCCTGCTGAGGAGGGGCCAGAGAGGTGCCCCGGGCCTCCGAGCGGTGCTCACGCGGCTTCCCCTCCCCGCAGGCGCCGTGACCATGCTGGGAGCGGACGAGTTCATCAGCTCCCCGCCCAGGAAGACGGTGCGGTTCGGGGGGACCCTGACCGAGATCCTGCTCAAGTACGAAAAGGTGACTGCGGCTTCCCGGGGGCCTGCGCTGCGTCCGGGCTGCTGGTTCCTGGGGTCATTCCGTGAGAAGACTCGTTTCGCCTTACGCAAGACCGTGCCTGAAGGCTTAGGGGAAAAAATTGAAGGCGGCTGAGCGTTGTAGGCTTGTGCCAGGCGGTATTGCTGTGCGAGCGAAAAGATTTCCCCCGTGAGTCAACCTGAGTGGCCGGGTGAATGTAAAGCCTGGCTTATGCTAAAGTGTGCACGGGGATCCAGCTGTGTCTGCAGGGAGAGCAGCTGAAAATGAGCCGGCAGCCTCGGTTGTCTTCTGGACAACACCCTGTTACTGCTGCTTCGGCTTTCCTGAGCTGGCTGTCTTGTATTCTTGATGTACCTGTTCGATAGTTGGTTGTTCAAATACATTGATGAAATTGGTAGTTTTTACTGAAGGAAAAAAAAAAAAGTAATTTATTTATTTTTGTTTCCCCTGCTAGGGTGACACCACAGATTTTGAGTTGTTAAAACATCAGCTGTCAGATCCAGACATAAAGGTAAGACTTTGATAATTAGGAGTCTGGTGATTTAAAGTTTGTCTGTGTGAGTGTAATCACCAGACAAGTCATTGTGGTGCTTACACAAATCCTTTGCGTTAAACATGTAAATTGTATTTAGCAGCTTCTTTTCTTTGCAGAAACCATCAGAATTAAAACTCTAAATGCAAAAGAAATGTCTATTTATATGCATACATATATGCAGGATCTTCATAAATGGTGTCTCATGCTTACTGACTCTGCTCTACCCTTTGAGGTTGTCTTTGTTCCAGATACCATCTTTTTAGGTCACTGATGCTTGATTATAGAGACACTTCTGTACATCAGACTGATTTCTGACTTTCATAACCTAAGTTGCATTGAATTTTACCTTCTGTTCTCACTAAATCTGGTTTCATTAGGCCCTAACATACATAGGCATTTAGCAATTGTACCCAGAAGCATTGTTTCACAGCTCTTCTGTATAGCTACAAGTACCTGCCACATTTGCTGTTTCAGGACTTGAATGTCCCTTCTGATTAAAGTACAACAAAAGAGAAAAGAAAACGATGATGGAATACCTTTCTTTTAAGTTCTGTATGAGGGAGGTTTCATGCCTTGCTCAGTCTGACTGAAGCCTTCATGGCAGGCTGTTGTTTAGGAATTGTCATGAATGTATTCTGCATTCAAGAACTTCCATTGGTGAGGGCAAAAACTGAAATTCCTTTCATGTTAGTGTGAAAACAATCTCTATTTACAGTCTTAATCGTTGACTTCTAAAGATTTTGCTATTTTCTGCTAATAGGTAGTACTGTTTATTGAAAATAGTTAACCTATTTTTTTCTTCTTATTTTAAGGATGCCCAGATCATTAACTGGCTGCATGAATTTCGAGCTTCTGTTGCATATTTGACCAAAGAGCTTGAACAACTGGTCAACATTTTGCTGGTAAATATCTGTTTGTTTGCTACATGGGAAGATTAAGAGTTTAGCACTCAAAACATCCCTCTTTGACATCTCGGTCTTTGCTTACTTTTAGAAGCTGCCATGGTTGAGAAGGAGCCGAGAGGTAGTGGAAGAATATCTGGGCTTTCTTGGCAATCTTGTGTCAGCACAAACTGTCCAC